GCCTTTTAAGTTTTGTCGTTTGAAGAAAAAAACACAACTAGAACCTCATAGTACTTTTTATTGTTTTTCAAAGTATTCACCACGTAGCTTAATACACTTTTCCATTCGTTTAACCAGTTATTATAACATTTATTCCACTCTAAAGTGGGGGTGTTCAAAATGACTGACTTGAAAGCGTCGACTGCTTCTTCACCGGACTGGAACCTTTGACCACGAAGACTTTTCTTAATATTAGAAAATGTAAAGAAATCGTTAGGGCTTAGGTCAGGACTAAATGGAGGATGGTCAAGAATTTCTACTTTTTCCTGCTTCAAATACTCAATCGTTTGACGAGCGTTGTGTGAACTTGCGTTGTCATGGGTTAGGATGATGCGTCGCTTTGAGTTACATTTTCGAAGTTGGGCGATAACTTGAGGTAAACAAACTGTGGTATACCTCTCTGCGTTAACCGTTCTACGATCTTCAAGTGCAATAGTCGCAACATGGCATTCTTTGAAGTGCTTCGAGAACAAACAACTTTAGTCGGCTTTGACTCGTCCTGAAAGACCCAGATTGTAGATTGTGGTTTGGAATCAATCACTGATGATGTGACGTGATTTGACTCTCCTCGGTTGAACCTTTGCAGAGTTTTCTTACACCATCTGACGCGGGCCGCCTTGTGATCGTCGGAAAGCAGATGCGGTATCCAACGGCAAACTAGCTTTCCCACACCAAGCGCTTCATGCAAGATCTTCTGAATGGTTGTCCCTGAGATGACCAATAGAGCCTCTATCTCTCGATACGTCACATGACGATCTTCGAGAATTAGTTGTCTCACAGCAATGATGTTATCTTCGCGAGATTTGTCACTAACACTGGTATGTCCACGCTGGAATTCTAAATACCAGCCTTCGACAGTCCGCAGACATGGGGCTTTATCACTGAACACAGATATTAACTCTTCAAAACACTGAAGCCGTGTCAGGCCTCTTCTAAAGTTGTAGAAAATTATTGTAGGAACATTTTCCTTAGAAATATTCATTTTTGTACGTAACCTGACAGATTCCAATCGACGCTGTGACTAAACAATAGCATTAATCCTAATACTTTCAACTGTTTTGAGATTCAAAATTTAAACACATTGGAATATAGAACAGTTCCAAATTCAAAATTACTGGGAAATATGGAAACGACAGAACTTAAAAGGCATGCCTAGTACATGAAACGGACACAAATAACACCTAGACTCAGAACAACAATATGTGGATCACATAAAGTGTTGTCCCATCTTGGTATCGAACCCACAACACTCAGCGCGGTAACACGCTGTCAGAGAGAATGAGTTTGGTGTTATGGCTAAAAGTTTGTAAAGGGTTGAAATAAAGCAGAAAGCACTTGATTATAATTATTTATTGAAAATTATTTTAAACATCCAGTCGATATAAATATGGGAACATTCATATGATTTAAGGAAACATAACTTTTTTAATAAAACTACAAATGTTGCTACGAACTGCAATTGAATGCAAATACATTAGACACTTTAGTTTTTCTGTTGTTAATGTTATAGTCACTCTGATGTGTCACCACCCGTTCATCCCGTTCATTTTTCATCCCGTGGGTGTCGTAAGAGTTGACTAAGGAAGCAAACTACGCAGGACAACGGCACTGCGAAGAGAAGAAAAACTTGAAACAACCTGTCTGGCTAGCGTGGTATAGTAGGCCAAACCCTCCTTTTTAAGGAGAGGCCTATGTCCAGCAGTAGACTGTTAAAGGCTGTTGATGATGATGATAATTAAAATAAACGGTAAACAGTTCTGAGTTATTTACCCTATCTTCGTTCCTATCCATATACCTTCCATGTACAAAAAAATAAGTATATTTTGAGTCAAAATACTTACCCTGCCCATGAAAAAAAGTACAATTTACCCCTACCTTTCTTTGTCATTCAGAATCCTACTCGCCTAAGAGTACAAAAGACTTTGCATTCAATTGCAATTACACATAATAAACACCATATAATGATTATAATTGGTCTCTGCGGTAAATCAAAGTAAGCAATTCCTTACTTATATTCTAGTTGTTCCTCATTTACAATTTGAAAATAAATTACCATCCTTATTATTTACAGCTTTTAACATTAGAAATATGCTTAAATAATATATGTTTTATAAATTATTTCAATTTTAACTTGATGAGTTTATAGACTATTCCAATTTAAACTATCTTTAATTAAATCTCCGATCTCACTGTAACTAACATCTTACTGGACACATCTAAAAAGGAACAATATCGGTAAAAATATGGAAAATTGGTTATGCGTTCTTAACACATGCTCCCATTGGATTTATGTTTATACATCGAACTTTAATAGTTAGCTAAGCGAGCGGCAAAAAGTAATTTTGAAAGGGAATTAATTGATGTGTCTTATAAGACTATATAATTATATAATAACCGGTCTTGAAATGTGTGGTACAATAAACACAATGAATAATTTTCAGTTTTTGATATTATAATTTTGTATAACACCTTTGAATGAGATCAGATATTAATACCAGCTTACGATAAAATTACATTTTCAATTAACAAAAGCATTTTGGGTAACATAAATCAATTAACACATTCATTATTTTGCTCAAAATCAGTGTTTATAGAGACGTCAAGTAAAATATGACAAGGATTTTAAATTTTATTTTAACAAATAAAGGGCCACCTTTACAAGAAATTTCAAAGCAAATTTTAATTGACATAATAAATTCAAACTAACCAACTTTAAATTACAAATTCAAGATAACTAATAATATATTATGATTAGATCTTCAACGTCGCATTCTTGAACATTCTTCTAGAAAACAGAAGTATCAACGAAATTAATTATACAAAAATCCATCAAGCCGATGAAATAAATTTGACTACAATGTGTGTTATTAGTAATTATATTTGTTTAAATTAGCAAATTCTAATTGGATGTTTCCGTATTGAATCCATATTTTAAATTATAGATTTTGTTTGTTACAAGTAATATACCAGTTATTACCGGTATATTCTGCTTTCAACCCATTGACATTCAACATATATCCATTTATATCATTTTTTGATACACACAGTAAAGTACTCATAAACTAGGTACTTTAAATTATGAAATTACATGATACACGTGTTGTTTATTTTGATTTAAAAGTATCTTTGACGTCACCAGATTGTGAATATGTAATTGGATTTTTTTTTAATTGTTACAACTCTATCTTTATTTGTTTATAATAATCTCGAAAATCGAGAAATCTCGAGAATCTCGAAAAAATGTTAATAAACCATTTTTTCGAGATTCTTGGCTTGAAAAAATGTAAATCTGTATAAACATGAAGGCTGATGCCACATAACCTAAAGCCTGAAGTTATAAAAGTAGTTATTATTTACTTTGGTTGAGAAAAAACTCAATTTTGGCAGTAGGTAGTGACTGAGAATATTATTATTTATGTTCAAAATTGGGTTGGAAACGCGGGTCGAATACGAAAGAACCCATTTAATTTCGTTATAATTTCTGTTACTCTTATAGCTCTAACAAAAACTAGACTTGTAAGTAACGCAGTTAATCCCAGTCTCGATTTTTACAATATTAATTTAATTACATTTTATTATAATTCACTATTCTAAAGGACACGATAGTCCAAAGCTATTATTATGTTTAAATAACAAAATTTCTATCCTATGTTACACTTCACGTATTTCCAAGCTTTATCACAAATGCCGTATGAGCTATCTCATCTTATTTTGCTCATATTAAATCTATTTAATATACGATTCCATCTAAGTAATACTTTTGAAGCACATTAATATGTACAAACATGTCCTGAGATTCGGATTTATTTATATTCTATAAATATAAAAAAAGAAAACAACTACTCTAAAATGCTCAAGAATTAGTATAGTTTTAAAGAATAAAACATAACGTATTTATACATTTACAAAAGTCATTAAGATGAAAGAATTTTACATGTGAGGTAACAAAAAATAAATTATGCCTACTTAGTATAATTATGCGTAAGCAAACGCGTAACAGGTAGTCACAGGTTAACAAGAAGAAACATTTTCAAAAATGCCATGGCTAACAGAGTCAGTCTGTAATAAAGGCCAAAGCAACCTGGTCGAAAGGTTTGTCAGGCAAGTCAAGGATATTTAATACTTACAACGTGACTTCTCTTACGTAGACATAATCATATATTATGAAACGCAAAACGTAGTATGTGCTTAATTTAAAACACGTTTCCTACAAAATGCATTCAATAAAATCTTCTGTGTAGGCCGAGCTAAGCGCGACGGTACTATGATAATAAATCGTCCACATTATTGGTATTGTATGTGAACTAGTTAAAATAGATAATCTTTTAAATATGTGTATTGAAAGTAAAAATCGGTAGAGTAATTTATATAAAATAAAATAATTTGTACTCGATATCCAACCGAGGTCAGCACGCTAGACGTCTCGCACTTTACAAACCAATCACATTATGCCAAAACATTTAACATAATATATCCAATGAACATACTGGTTCTATATTTTCATGATGTTTATCGATTATTTTTCGCATACCTTGGTTCCACACGGCGTTAGTTCGCGATTGCAAAAGCTTGCAATCTCCAGGTCTGGCTTCTGACTACCAAGTCGGGTAAATTATTTATCAGTATATAGATTCTAAATACTTAGTTTGCAATCTTATTTAAATTAGATCAGAAACAATCCGAGCTTATGTGGCTTCTCAAATTTTAATAATTTAGATGGAACTCCAACCAAAAGGAGTGCCACTATATAAAAAAATACAGGCAAATCATTCAACGTATTTAACAATAGAATCATAGGACAACAAAGATAAAAATATCAATATATTATTATTCTAATTTTTTTTTATTATTCAGTATGTAATCTGTTTTCCTATTATTAATTACATTGACTACCTTTAGGTAAAAACAGTAAAATCTGAAAGATTTATATTAGAAACAAACCACAACTTAACGTTACCTTTTTAAAATACGAAAGCTAGTAATACATATAGACTAAGTACAGTTTTCGCAACTGGTATGAGCGCAGAGGAAGCGTCACCGGCTGCTGCAAGAGCGCTAGCAGCGGCTTCAACACAATGCCGATAAGTGACGTGGTCTAAACAAGTTATTGCACAGAAGTGCTGATGTGCGCAGGCGCCATCGCATGACTCGGAACTTTCATGTCGGGCGTGGTAGGCTCGCAGATATCTAAGGAAAATAAAATTAAATCATCCACTTGGCAATTCATTTTTTCTTGTGATAGTCTGGTACAGTAACTATTGTGGGCTGACGTTATGTGTATTGGTAACCCTCGCCCCGAAAATAGGATTTCTACTAAGATAAACCGATTTTAGTTTGGTTTTAAAATTAAGTGTTAAACCAAAATCATAACTTACTTGTGAAATATATTTGTCTCGTGAGGCGAACCGATCTGTAGCTTCTCGGCAAGATTGTGAAGTGATGTGGCAGAAACTTCATGCAACCCGTAGTACTGGGTCAGGTTGTATTCTGCCGCCCATTCAGCCAGGTTGCGGTTAGCGCCCGCCAAGTCTAAGTAGTATTGAGTGTAGTCTAATACCTATGTATAAATAAAAAGAAAAAATACTGTACCATTTTTCATTTTCTATTATATTATGTTCCTTGTAAAATGACAACTTTTCTATTGTAGTTCCAAATTCATCAAAATCGAAGTTTATTTGTACTGAAGGTCAGTCTTTATTATTTTATCATTTTGCTTGCTAAAACAAACTGTTCTAAATTTGTTTCAACTAAATATTGATACTCTTAAATAGTCTTGAATGAATACAGATGAATATAAGTATAAAAACTAGACTTGCAACGAATAGTATATTCGGCAGTATACCGAATACCGAATATTCGGCGAGGCCCCTGACCGAATAGCCGAATATTAGGCAAAAGTATTCGGCTGGATTTTAGCGCCAAAAACTTGTAGAGACGTGAATTAAATTATGTACCTGTTTTATGTACCAATGACTACTTAATAAATGATTATAAAAGAAATGAGAACCTTACCCTTCTAAATTTTGATTACCACAATAATTCAAATACATAGAATCCTCCATTTTTCCTATTCAGAAGATGATTATGTACCTGTGTTATGCACCAATGACTACTTAAATGATTATAACAGAAATGAAAATATGAATATATACGTAATCAATCGATTTTAATTTTTCATTTTACCAATTATTTCTCAATGACAAAATATATTATTTAAGTATTCGGTATTCGGCCGAATAATATGTAGATATTCGGTATTCGGCCGAATACCGAATAGTAACCGAATATTCGTTGCAAGTCTAATAAAAACTGGTTTATATTATATTCATTGAGCCTTAAAGTCAAACATGAAGAAATCAAAACGGTTATAGACACTTTCTTTTATTATATGTAGATACATGTGTTTTAGAAATATTCGAGTCTTAATAACCTTTCATGACTAAATCATTAAATTATATAGAATAATCAAGCCGTACCACTTCTTAAGACAGTATATGATGCTCAAATGTAATTCAATGTTAGTCCAGAATTCGATTCAGCAACGAAGTATACGACTTTAGGGTTGAGTTTAAATCAAAACCAATTTAAATCATCCAATAAAACCCAAATTGCTACGTAGTGGCAACAATTATAACCTGGTAACAACCTTTAAATAATTACAGGCTTTGAAAATAGAATTACCCTAAACTTAATTATAAGGGCAAATTAAGTTTACGTTTTAAAAACATTGTAGGTACTTAATTACACGTTACTCTCGCTGTGTTACACTCTTTTATGTTACCACAGCAATGTCGTTAAAGAAATTAAATTGGATAAGCTTTTATTAACTGCCCTGTAGTATGATTATGGTTGTTTGATTAACAATATTAAAAATATAAACAAAATAAGTCACTTTAACAGGCACTGAAGTTAAATGTTTTGAGGCGAACAGATTTGTAAAATATAATTGCGTAAAATTGCATTTATATTTTACAAATCTGTCATGTCATTGCTATTTAAACTTATGTTACCTTAATATTCTATGCCTTATGCTTGTTATATGGAAAAACACATACCTTTCCTGTATTGGTGTCAAATTTGTACAGCCTGAGACCAGGATTTGATGAATCGGCTGGATCTCGATGTGGACTTACGGAGGGCGCTAACAATGCCCAGGATACTGGGCGATCTATACAAATTAAAATTTATGAATTAGTAACTTTCTAAAGTATTACTTATTGGGTAATGAATATGAATGAATATAGAATTGATCAATTGTGAGATATAACATAAGTAGAAAGTAATTATTAAAGAAAAAAACCTGACTGCGTTAAAATGTTTAGGTATTAAGTCTATAAAAAAGCGACTTTAATTTTTATAATTTTCATCTAAATGGAATCAAATTGGAACCATATCCTTCTTAATTAAAAAGATTTTCTGAAACAGTACATAAATGACGGAATTTTGAGGTAACTAACATTGAAAAACCTCTTCTTTTTAAAGTCGGTTAAAGTACAGAAACAAAGCTTTAAAAAGGCTCTACACCTTGTCAAACCCGTAATCCTTTTTTCCGGTAATCCACTTTTTGTTATGTAGTATTATCCGCGTCCACACTGCTACCGTTCAATTAATGTTCTGAATTATTTTACCAGGATTTCTCTTATGCTTTTTCAGGCCTTTATTTAAATTAATATAGAACGGATTACAGTTCTCCGTGTATAATATCCGGATCTATTTATTCCTTCGTGAGTATGAATTTATATTTACACAAATCTATTAAAACATGCGCTACGGTTTTCAGTATCGCATTTCGTACATATCTATAAAAACTTTTAAATCAAATAAATATTTGATAAATAAATATCCATGAACCTGTGACTCTCTCGCTATATCTGAAGGTTACTTTTCGTAATAAAAATTCGTTTACAATCTACTCTCGATCTCACCAATGTCATAGAAGGTATTCTCGTAATACTGCTAGACTGAGTATTTCTGAGACATTTCAAATACTTGGTGTTTAAACTTTTATCACAAGTTCAAAGCATTAAAATAAATTGCAAGTAAGATTAATACTGCAAAGAAAAGAAAGAAAACTTAAATTAAACACAACCAGTCTGGCCAGAGTGGTATAGTAGGCCAAAATTACTTTTCTAAGGAGAGGCCTATGTCCAGCAATTGACTATTAGAGGCTGTTGATGATGATGAGTATATTTAAATATTAAAAAAATAACAAACAATTCCACTTACCATTATCATAAATAACACGGAATGTATCAGCATGTAGATGACCGAAGAATTGACCGGCTATGATTTTGGCGTGACGTCGCACCGTTTGAAGGTACTTGGCATTAGCGTCAGCTGCCGCTGCCGAGGGGTCATAAGGATGCCGTGAATCAGATCCTGGAGCTGCATGACCTACTATGTATACCTTAAAAAAAAACAATATTTTGTGGCATAAGTGTCAGAGGAGGGAGCACACCACCGATTATTGGTCAAAATAGTGTAATTTCTTAACATTATAACAGTAATCTTGGGTAGGTAAATAGAAAGTTGTTGTTGGTTGGGTTTCAATTCAAGGAATAAAGTGTATGACTGATACAATTATTGAGTTGAAGACAAACACCTAATAATAATATAAAGGCAGGTGCTTGCTATCAGATTGGAAGTATAGTTGATTACCAACTTTATTGTGTAGTTACATTCTCTTACAGTGTTATCTAGAAGGACAGTTTTAATAACCTATCATAGTTAAATAAATCTTGTCAATAGAACATTTCCTGAATTCTTTAATTATATTACAATACAAGCCACGGTAAGTACCAAGAAATAAGTAGCACGCACAGTGCAGGGTTCTGTAAGTTTTTATTACCCGTTTTTAATAAATGACGACTTCATCTGAGTAATTTTTGAAATAGAGTAGTCTCTAAGTTAAGCAACGGACATACGGACGGACAGAAGTCACATTATGAAAGCCTAAAAATCAGTTATCCAATCAAACAATCTTTGGGCTAATTAACTATTTCTACAGATGTACATTAACTTTGTCGAGTATAAGTACTGTAACCCATCTAATTTATTCAAGACGCGGTTCCAAGTAGTTTTGACTAATTGGGGCTCTTCAAAGTGTATTACTCTGTATTAGAGTCAGGCGCATTGAACTGTTGGGGCTTTAATTGACCCTTCGTGTTCCTCGAATACCCTATCAAGTATCAAGCTTTATCGGCTTACGAATTTTGACCCTGTTGTTCATAATAACATTAAAGACAACATCTGATCTTGAATTTTCTGTATATATATCGCAAACATGCGACATCTCAAACACAAGTCTGGTTTTTGTAATTAAATGTACGAGTACAATTATTGTTAAGTACAAAACATGTCGCGGGCCGCCAGGGAGTAGTACTCAGAGGGAGGGGACTACTAATCACTCGGGGACTCAGGAGACTGGGCCGCTCCTGAGTCTCCGAGGAGCAGGAGATACGAAGGTATTTTCCGCACCGTCAACAAAAAAAAAAATACAAAACATGTGAGCTTTTCCGTCCTTCAAAGAAATTTTAAATATTATTGGTTATTTGCTCTTTTTTTTATCATCATCGCTTAACAATTTCGACAATATTTCTTCAGTATTTTTTTAAAACTAGCGAGTTGTTGTTCTTAAGAGGATATTTAATAAAAAACTTGCAATTCACGAGATGGTGTTTTAAAACTGAAATGCAAAAAATGTTGTTGCTTACAAGACGTTTCGATTAAAAAGTTCATTAAAATGTTTGAAAATTTATCTAAGATATTTTAGTCTTTCTTTGAGTGAAAAATTTCGTCGAAATTTTAATAATTTTTGTTAGGATTATAATTAAAAGTGGGTAATTAGTAATCCTGTATTTTTTTATAAAGTAGTTACATAGTTGAAGTAGTTACATCTTGACTGAAAAAGGTTTTTACTCATTAGTCTTGATATAAAAAAAAAAACAGAAAACTAGATAAAATTCTCTCCTTTATTCATGTTTGTTCATTGAAACCCTCCAGTAACTCACATATAGAAACGAATTCGAAATACAACAGCATTATCCTGTACATAAACTAACAATGAAACTGTAACCTTAGGCAAACATTATTAGTAGGATACATTGTTCCGCAAAGTCCATAAGTGTATTAGTCTAATCTCATTAATTCAACACTGCAAATGCTTCCCTTTGCAAATGCTTTTAAAATCTACTATTGATAGTCCCATTCGAATGAGCCCACATACACATGAAAAGGGTTTAGTATCACCAATACGTGTTGAACAAAGGGAATATACATTTATATACAAAATTGACTTTAAATCCCTGGCTCCAAATCTATTGACAGTATGGGAAAGAATAAATTGAATTTCCCGAGACGGTACGACTTCTGACACATTTTACCAACGGCTTTATAAATCTTTAGAATATAATTTATTCAAGCTTTTTGTCTTTTATGACGTCATGTCTTTTTATGATACGAACTTATTTATCATCTATCGCGTAATGAGCTATATTAACGTTTGATTGATTATTTTTTATTGCCTGACAAATATCAATTGACGAAATGTTACAAAAAAAATAAGAATGTATTTTTATTTCAATTCATTGTTTTTTTTAAATTTGTCGTATTAGTTATGAAAAATATTAATGCAATAATAAATAGCCAAAAGGTTGACAAAACTTTACTTTTTAGTACTTATTCATCAACGAATTCAAATAAATAAAATGCAGGGTTTGATTAAATCAATATGTACAAGTTATTAATAAATTTTGTTACTATCATTAATAGTATAAAAATAAAAATAGGTACCATAGAACTTCCATATGTATAAGTTGTATAAGTTTAGTCGAGTGACTAATGTAAATACATTATGTTGATACGAGTACCCACAGTAATTCTGCTCGTAGCTCTAAATTATTTCGTGACACAAAAATGAAAGTCTTGACGTTGCATTGTCACTTATTATGAAAACCGCATTGACTTATGACAATGATTAATCGTGTGAGATTAATATATATGCGTCTAGTACTCTAGTCTTTCTTTTTTAACTACGCTATGTTCTTTTTCTTATCGTGTCGATGGCAACACTGTAAACGGTTTTGGTCCAGGTGCTCGGCGACGCGAATGACGTTTGGCGTTGCTTGATATAAGCGGTCAAATGCACACGATTCTAAATTCTATTGTTTAATAATGCCGTGCTGAGATCTGGGATTCGTTTCCCGGGTCGGACCTAACGTTTGTATGATCTGAAAATATTTGTTAAGGAGTTTGGGTGTTTTCTATGTATAACATGTATGTATTTACAAAAAATAAGTATATAAGTATTCTATCAGTCATTCTAGCTTTCATAGTACAAGTTCTGCATAGTTTGAAACTATATGGTGTTGAGTGTCAGATGTCCGAAATATAATTGTTATTATTATATCTTCTAATATATAAATATTTTCTGTCACGCCGTGGTGTTTGTGGTCGCACTTCTCCAAAACGGCTCGACGTATTTTAATAAATTGTTACCACCTGACTAAGCGGTTGCTACAGCAAATATTTTCTTAAAAAATTTTGAGAAAATTGTTTTGTAAGAAGTTATATAGGTACATACAAAACAATTTTACATACAGTACATTTTAACTTTTATAAAAGATGTAATATGGTCAGTGAATAAAGGCTTTTATTATTATATATATTTTCATTAATAAGATACAGTGTATTATGAATGTAAAGAATATAACGAAATGTTTGGTTTCGTTTACGCACTGTGTTAAGGTCAGCTCTTATATCCTCGGGCGGTTGTAATAACTTATGTGAAGCAACGATAGTGCGAATTTGCTTCGAAACAGACAATCGCAGCCGCTCATTTACTAACCTGACTACCGCCATTTACGCTTGCGGCGCCAACGAGATGACAGCTCGCTTATCACACAGACCGCCGTGACGGGGACTGACCGCTTGACAACGCGGTCCGGTCGCTTAAATCGTGCTCTTTACTAGACGTCGTTATCAGGAAAGTTACAAAATCCATATTTGCAAAATAATTGTTGAATAACTCATCTTGCTGTTATTGTGTACTCAATATGAAATACGAAATGCAATCCTTATTCAACAATTTCAACAGCTAATAAAATAAGTGTAAATTGAAACAACGATTTCCTCCTTGAGGCCAAAACGGTTTGTAACGTTAAAAATTCACGGCAATATTTGTATTTCATAAATTGGATCAATTCTTTATAAATCCGGTTATTTGAAATTATTTGAAATGCACACATATATTATTGTACACACGCAAATATTAAATTTGGGAAAATAAAACGATTGAATTTGAAATTAAACACCTGTACAGCACCTTTGTCCCTAATAGGTTACATCATAACTATTTCATTTACGCAATTAAAGGCTTTTAACACATCGAATATAATGTTAAGGTTTGTATCATTCATTCATTCATTTCATTAATTTCTCCCAACTAATGGAAACTTTTCAATAAATAATGTCTGATTCAAATATAATATAATAAATATAACACATATAACTATTTGTTATTGTAAATTTTGTAATTTATCTAAAATATGTATGTGAAATATACAAGTATGACTGTGGTGCGTGTGGAGTAGTGGTTTAAGCGGTCGCCGCGCCGGTACTGTGCCAAGTGTTGTGGGTTCGATTTCCACATGGGACAACACTTTGTATGATCCACAAATTGATTTTTTGAGTCTGGGTGTTCTATGTATCCGTTTCACGTATTTGTGTAAAGTCCCCAGCGACAGATCAGATGGCGAAATGTGGGATGTGTCAAGTAATAATAAAAGTTATTTAATAACTGTGATAATGTGTTACTAAAGCTAACAAAACACACCTCATATGGTTGATTAATTACTGTACAAAAAGCCTTCTCTCCGATTTTCCATTCTTGACGTCAAAATTATTCTTTCACCTTTCATAACCTGAATATATTAACCAAGTACCATGATTTATATTTCGAGTGAGTTCTCTGACTGTAATAACAGGCGAGACAAGGATTGATGTATGTATGCAGCAATGTATAAAATAATATGAATGCTCTCCTTTATTTCTATTGTATTTTCTAACAGTATCATTTTATGGCATTTCTTATGGCATGTTACAGTGTAAATGTGTCAGAAGTACAATAATATAAAAAATAAACTCTATTTAATATCGTTATTTAAATCATAATTATGATGAACATGGTTTGTTTGAAATTACGATTAAAAAGACTTTCGGAACTCAAAAAATACCTAAGAGTTATCAAAATGCAATTTGTCAAAATCACAAGTCGATTCACGGCTCCAATTCCACAAGAAAATTATGGTTGGTTGATTGAAAAATGCTAGAAGACAGATGGACATAGAGATAACCAAATCTTCCCTACATCAAGATGAAACAAGACCTCAAAGGTGCACGCAATGAACT